AGATTTTAGCCGTTAGGCCCCTCCCACAAACATGAACAAACTTGCCATGGCCGTATTGTTATGCCCCCAAAATCCCCCAAAATTTCATTTTACCTCGTGCATATCCAATTTTACATTAGGCCTAGGCTATAATACATCGGTTCCACGTACTAACTTGATTGAAATAATCCGTTTAATGGTCCCTTTTAAGGAAATTATGGGTCAAAATCGACATCCATGTTGAAAATCTTGCAAGCCGTGTTAAACTCTCGCTGCCGTCAATCTCATCCCTTCTAGTCTACGCCGAAGGCAAAATGATTATGAAGGAAAAACTGTGCGCCATCTACACGTTCGTAATGGCGTTATCACAGTTTTTCCTTCATAATCATTTTGCCTTCGGGGTAGACTAGAAGAGATGAGATTGACGGCAGCGAGAGTTTAACACGGCTTGCAAGATTTTCAACATGGATGTCGATTTTGACCCATAATTTCCTTAAAGGGGACCATTAATCGGATTATTTCAATCAAGTTAGTAAGTGGAACCGATGTATTATAGCCTAGGCCTAATTCAAAATTGGATATGCACGAGGTAAAATGACATTTTGGGGGATTTTGGGGGCATAACAATACGGCCGTGGCAAGTTTGTCATGTTTGTGGGAGGGGCCTAACGGCTAAAATCTAGCCGTGATATCTTCAACATAGGCTGGCATAGGCGATCGTTCAGTCTCTATAACCGGAGGTCTAGTGGAGCCAGACGTAGTCTCAGTGGAACAACCGACGATTATAGAGACTGAAGCTTTCGGTCTAGTGTTGTAATTAACAAGAGTCTCAAACTCTCAATGGAATTTCAATGAACTAGACTTGTAATGAACTAGACTAGAGTCTAGTATGATTATGAATGATGGGGGATCCAGAGATGCCAAGCCCAAGTTCAAAGATCAGCTATGCGTGCGCGGGCGAGGGTATAGCGTATATAGTGTACGTTTCGAAATCGAGCCACGTGAAGTGACGTGAAAGCCAGCCTGCATGCATGCTACGTGCATGCGATATACAGTACGTACATGAACCCTGCGAGGAGCTAGCTGAGCTGAGGCCTCGAGTCTTGGCTTGAGACGGTCGGCCAGTACGTAGTCTAGCAGTAGCAATTACTACCCTTTTCCCCCTTTTTTCCCCAGTTTTGCCCTGATGCGTGACGAAAATCCGGTTTGGCCCTGAATAAAGTGGGTGCCATGCGTGACAGCGTTTTTTGGCCCTCGATGCGTGACTGTCACGCACAATGCGTGACACTTGGTAGCTCTGGGGATCTGGTGTCCCGCCGCGTCTTAAATTTTTTACACTAGGCATAGCGAGCCCAGATTGAGCTCACGAAGGAAACTTGCATGCACACATGGTAACCGTTAGAGTTGTTAATAGGGTTATAATAATTATGCAAACCGACCTTTCACGAACCAATCGTTGGCTGGTTCAATTGGTAAGGACAGAGTAATAAATCCTTTTGAGATGTGGGTTTGAATTTCAGTATTGAGTAAATAAAAATAAAAAAAATTATGTGCTCACTACTTCCCCTCCTTCACACGCAAATTTTGTTTACATATGAAACGGTATGCTGGTTCATTTTACACGTTTGCCGGGAGGTTTTTAATAAACCGGGAGATTGCCGGAGAGTCTCCTGTAACCCTGTAAACGATCATCGGATCGGCCGCCGATACCGATCCGATCACCCCTGATCGGATAATAATTTCCGATCGCCGATCAATTTTTTTTTTTTTTTAATGCCGAAAATTTTTAAGTTTTTGGCTATTAAATGCTCAAAAAAAATTAATGGCTGGGATTATTTTGTCATTTAGAGTTGTTGTAGACCATGTTTGTTGCGGGCCACCATCTTGGATTATATAATGCATATCTACATTATAATCCAAATGGCAGCCTGCATGTATTGCCTCTGCTCTTAGACTAATATTACTAATTTCAAAGTCATGAAAAGGCACCAAATACCAACAAACATGGTCTAGTACAACAACTCCATATGACAAAATAATTCCAGCCATTAATTTTTTTGAGCATTTGATAGCCCCAAAATTTTTGTCATTTAAAAAAAAAAAAAAAAATTGGCCGATTTTTTTTGTTGATCTTCCGATCCGATACCGATCAAAGGTGCGAGGGTGTCGCTCCGATCTTCCGATCCGATCAGAGCCCCAACTTTACAGGGTTAGTCTCCTGCTACGAGCTGGTGGCGTGAGACTCTCCAAATGCGGGAGGGTTGACAGCCCTGGTATTTATTCAGTTACTTTTCTTCATAAGCATAAGGCTTTATAAATTGTGAGGCAAAGCAATAAATAATCAAAATCTAATTATTTGTGACCTCTTTGCAAGCTTTCGAGGCTTGTTATGTATGGAAAAGACTTCATACTGAAATCTGTGCTCACTTGAGTATGAAAAAATAAGACGCTGTTCGAACACCAAACCTCAATCATGATGAAGCCTTTTGAATTTCAGTTCTGAACTTAAGTCTCACAAACACAGTGTACAGCCTATTTTGAACAGAACATATGCATTGTACTGTAGCCTGTAGGTAGTCATGTATGTAAGCATACTATCTTCCAGCGCTCAAAATACACGGGGGCGGTGGGCGATTCGCCCCCGTGAGCTACATAATCGCCCCCGTCAGGTTGCTCACGGGGGCGATTGCAAAATTAAAAATCGCCCCCGTGGAATTATAATATAAAGATTTTCTTTTCTGTTATAACTTTAACACAATATTGAGTTTCAATTTTCAAATGAAATGGAACTTAGATTAGCGTGCAAGATTTCTTGTTTTATGAGTAGGCCTATTATTACCGATTCAGCTCACAGTGCAGTGCCGCCGTCAGCAGTGGTTATAGGCCTACTGCGCCCTTAGTAGCGGTACGTGTGCACGCTGCCGCGCTATGTCTGCTAGAGCTGGAGGCGATCGCGCAAGGGCAGAAACATGGTCATGGAGAAGTTTTTCGTTGTGAAAGCGTTAACCCGCTGAAATCTGGTGATTTCAAATGACTAGCAAATAATGAACCTCGACCAGTAAATCAATATTAGGGACCTTTAGATTTGCACGATGGGAACGTGGACTGAAACGTGTGACCTCCTTTTAAGGCAGTGCCAGTGCTTAAAAGGACGTGACATGTGACTGCCAGTGCCTTAAAAGGACGTAACACGTCCACGTCCACGCAAATCTAAAAGTCCCTATTGAGAAGAAGAGGAAGACCAAGATGTCGTGGAATGATATGGTAACATGGGCATATCTACGGGGGGGGGGGGGGGGGGGGGTTAGGGGTTTAACCCCCTCCTCCCACCCCCGGCCCCCTTGGGCTGCCAAGTGAAAATGTGATATTAAAGCGGGGGGGGGGGGGGGGGGGGGGGGGGGGTGCTGGAGAGGAGGACTACTAATCTATTTTATTTTTTTCATGGGGGGGGGGGGGGGGGAGTGAAGCGCCGTTTTAGCATGACTTTCTTTTTAACTCTTACTTTCACCTATCTCAGATAACCCTAAGTTTTTGGTTGCTGCTTTATATGTAGTTGATAATGCATGATTAAAGTAAAGAGAGAGAGAGAGAACCACCATCATTTTGCAATGGTTCAGGGTTCGTGTAATGTACATTTGAAACCATTTCTTAGCGTCTCAACCCTAACAAAATGGCAAAACTATTTTTGAGGAAAAGCATTATACTGAATTAAATAAAGAATAATAGCTTTATATTGCATGATACTAATACTGATACGGGCTAAAGACAATGTGGTATTTGTTTAGAGGTATTCCAAAATGACATTCTGATAATCAACATTTGTTCTGGTATCATAATGTATATACGCATAATACAACTGATCTTTATGATTTCTTAACGTGACATAGCTTCTTTTCCCCCTGCAAACAAAAAAGAAAACAAGGTTATTTAATAAAAGGATCATGCGACAAATAATCATTGTGATTCAAATTGATGCAAGGATTTTTTTTGAATAAGCAATGCTTTTCACCAGAATCTTCTTTGTAAAAACGACTTTTACAAATCTCAGCCATGCAAATCTGCCACTGTGCTGTAAGATCACTTTCAGATTAGGAGAAGTGTATTCTTTAATGAGTATTTTACATTGAATGGAACGTCTCAACTCAGTAAGCATGACTGAGATTTGTAAAAAATGTTTTTACAAAGAAGATTCGGGTGAATAGCAGTGCTTATTCAAACAAATATTCGCATCAATTTGAATCACAATCATTATTTGTCGCTTAATCCCTTTTAATGACCTTGTTTTCTTTCTCGTTTGCAAGGGGAGAAGAAGATATGTCACGTTAAAGACATCATAAAGATCAGTGTTGTATGCGTATATATTATATACACAGGCCAGTAACAGCTATGTAGCTTGTAAATTTGTAAGAGGGAAAATGCTGATTGGAATGATAATGATGAAATAGCAAATAATTGAGGAGTATCATAGGTACCAATTCAATGGATATTTGTATAAAAAAGAGCCCCCGTCAGTACTAAAAGAGCCCCCGTGAGTAGGCTCACGGGGGCTCTTTTTTTTGGGGGGGGGGGGGGAAGAGCCCCCGTGGACAAAAAATTAATTTGAGCCCTGCTATCTTCCCATCTGTCTACCGGTATTTCAGTATTTGCATCCCTTTATCATTCAAAGTCCATTTCATTCTTTCCATCACATTCTACCAACATCGCCATTTCCTTTATCTTCTCTTATGCAATGTTCACTCTCGGTCTCTCCCTTTGTTCCTCATTTCATGTTCATCCCAGGCTCATGGTTCAGTAGATTTGTTCTTTCCACCCCAGTGTGATTGGTTAAGGCAGACCTTATTCAATATTCATAGCAGCTCATTTATATGCACACATAGATCTGTGTGCATTTATGTAGACTACCTCCTTTCATTAATACAAGCTCTGGTATTTGAATACTTATTATTTACAGTTGTGATACAAATGTTCATGTAAATATATGCACAAAAAAAAAAATCCCTGAGGTTGGGAAGCATGCGTAATCTCAGGCAGTTCCTCACAGGCAAGCAAGGAGTGAAGATGTGCATTTCTTGATCTTTGCAAGTAAGAGCCACGCCTTGCCTTAGCTGCATACTCCATTCTACAGCAGCATTACAAATGAAGGCAATAACAACATTGCTGGGTGATTAACTCTTTGCCCCTTTTATTTAATCTTGTTTTATTCTACAGGAATGGCACCAAGGAGGAAAGCAAAAAGTGTTGATGCAAAAGTTCTTGCCAATGAACTGGAGGAGCAGTTGCCATGCAGAGGGAAGCAGATTGCATTGCTGTTATCACTTGCAGGCCAGGTATAGTGCTGCTTTGCACAACATCAGTTATTTAATATTTTGCATATACTTGCCACTTCTTGCCAATTCATGTTGTTGGGGTTGCGACTTGCGAGAGTGGGTGGACTGGGACGACAATGATTTAATGATGTCGTTACTAATAGCTGTGTAATATCTATTCTTTTTCTTTTGCTTAGCATTTAACAAGGAAATAATTACATTGAAGGGCAATCCAACCATTGTATTAACATCATTTTTATGAAAGTGGAAAAAACAAAGGAAACAGAATGGCGAAAGTTTGAAATAAATCTGACCTAGCCTTAAAGATAAACTCCAGTACTGGTAAAAAAAAAAAAATTAATTCTCACAGAATCAAACAAAACTTACACTGAATGTTCAAGATTACAAATAAATGACATGTGCCAAACAATTTTGGAAGAAAATGTATACTGGCTGAGTAATGAGCATTAGAAAGACAAGGAAACCAAGGTAGTACCATCCCCGACACCATGTGTGTTGTCCCATATATAGCTTTCTATGTGAGTGTTTGTTACTTTACCAAGACTCGGTCAAATTTGTTATCCAAACATATAAATATATAAATATATTTCATAGATTTTTAAATATTTTTAAAAGTAATTTTCTCAAACCTGCTAAGCTCCACCTTAAAAAAATGCTCCAGATCTCATTCATCTAGTGACATCATCTGCCAATCATTAGTGAGCTAACAAGAGACGGTGGTATCTAGCTTCACCAGAGCTGACCACCTGTTTTTCAATGGACCATATTATAGTTGCTATACGTTCTGTAGCATCACCAGGAAAAGAAGGGTAAAGCTACGGTCACAAAGGTTCGTACGAACGATGCGTTCGTACAAATCTCTGTTTTTCCATTGTCTTCCCGAATTTCCATCGTCTTAAAATCGTTCATACGGCGTTCGTAGCAGTTGGTAATGGCATCTGTGACCAAGGCTTAATGTGGAGGAGATGTGCTATTAGGATGGGATTATCCTTTAATGATCAGATAAAAGGAAGACATTGAGACTCCCCTTTGAATTTGACTCACTAAAAGTTTATTCTTGTGTACAATATCCCTCACTCTACAGCCAAATCATGCTACCTGTCCAGCTATCTTTGTCTATGGCCACTCCGCAACGGGAAAGTCTGCCGTTGTCCATTCCATCTTGGAGTCTTACTCTGCCCCAAGAGCTATCGTGAACTGTGTAGAATGGCAAAGTCAGAAGCAGCTCTTTGAAGAGATTCTTAATCAGGTAGCTGAGGCCGGGCCCAGTCCAGAGAATGGTTTCACACAGTACGCCAGGTGTGACAATGCCAATGACTTTGTAAGGCTGCTCAAAGGAGTGGTCCAGGAGAAAGGTATTGAGGAGACAGTGTACATTGTAAGTAACACAAATGTTAATGTCTATATTACAAATTTTATTTCTGTCAATCAAAATATTAGTTTGAATAATATGAGAAAAGGAAAACTGAAAGTTGGCCAAACAGCCAAAACCAATTGCAATACAGTGTGCACTTGCAAAATTGAATGATAATCATATTTCATTTGTAGTATTAACAATATGTGCCAATCAAAAAAATATAGTACCATACTCATTTCTACACTCAATACCATTAATTTGGATCATAAATGGTTACAATGCAAACAAAACTAAAGGGAAATTAACAGATTTATGTGAAAGAAATGTACAATGTTATTATGTATGATACGTTGCTGTGTCAGAGTCGATGGGATTTTTATTTTTGAAAAATTACTAGGAATTATATTTCAATAGGATTACTTCAAATCATGTCATTTCTTTGCGATTAGGTACTTGATAAAGCTGAGAGGTTACGATTCATGGAGGGGCACATCTTGCCAGCCTTTCTGAGGCTTTCAGAGCTGTCTGAGTGCAATGTGTGTGTCATCATGCTGAGTCAGATAGTGTGGGAGAAGTTCAGATGTGGCACTGGCTATTGTGAACCGGTCATCATTCATTTCCCCGACTATACTAAGAGTAAGTAATGTTCATGTTTTTCATGTGTCACAGACATTAGAATCAGTGACAAAGTCACCATTTGTAATACATTCAAACCTGTTTTAGGATCACCTGTCTACAAAGACCCCATGTTGTGTTTCCCTTGAAAATGGTTTCTCATTGAAACATGTACTAAAAGGAACCTGTCTTAAAAGACCACTTTTTGTGTGTCCCTTGGGCGGTCACTATAGAGTGGTGAAGTGTGACGTCATCAAAAATCAATTTTTAGAATTTCTTAATTTTTTCTTCATTTTCCAAAAGAGCATAAAAAATAATGTCCAACTGTCGAAAACCAATTGAATATGTTAAGTATTGGCTGAGATATGACCATTTGAATAAATATATTTCCCATAGGAACTAAGTGTTATATGCTCTGGCTCCTAACCATTTGACTGTAGTATGGTAGATGATCTCTATGGTAGGGAGGTTCTTGTGAAGTCCGCATCGACTTGTTTGATGTAAGGCACATTAAAGGCATCGATGGTACTTTGAACTGTGCTGAACTGGTGTTGAGCTGAGTTTCTCAAAATTTATATGAAGTTAAAGGCATCGTTTGACAATGTTAAGTCTGAGATGCATGGCCTATACAAGTAATCAGTATCTGTGATATGGTGTAATATTAAAGCCCTAACAAAATTGCGCATCAAAATCATCATACTCATTTCCCCCAATAAACTTAACCCTTACTGTACTGGGCTATTTTGAGCACCCTCTGACTGGGGGGGGGGGGGGGGGCCTGGGAGGCCCCCCCCCTATGATCTCGGCCGTCGATTGTCCGATGAACACGAAAATTTGCATGTTTGTAGATATTTACGTAAGGAACAAGATGGTATAATTAGTTTTTTCCAAATATGCAAATTTTTGTTGTTAGCCTAATTAATTATGCAAAATGCGCTAATTTTATGCATTTTACAGAAAACGTGTCAAACTCCACTTTTTGAATGTTGAAACTCATTATTCATATGAAACTTCTTTTCTAACACAAAATAGTTATTTAAATGTAATTAATAATGATAATTTATGCAAATTTTGATGCGATTTTTAATTTTTTTTTTTTTTTTTTGATGACATGCGCATACTAATTGTTATGTAACGCCTTACAGGTATATCCGATTTCGACGAAAATGGTATCAAAATGTGCGTAAGACTTGAGGGAAAAAAGTCATGAAACGACAATTCAAAATTCCAAGCGGTTGCGGCGCAATCTCCGAAAATGTCGAGGGGGGGGGGGCCTCCGAGGCCCCCCCCCAGTACAGTAAGGGTTAAGTGTGTTTTTGAAATTTCGATTTCCAATAAAAAATATCTTAATAATCAGACATGCGATCTGCTTGTAAAAGCCATGGGATTCCTGACTGACCAAAAGGTTTATAACTATGATTGCAGCATGAGCTAAATCCAGGATTTTGTTTAGAATCTGAGGCAAAGATACCCAATCCCTGTAAGCCATGTAAGCGGTCACTTAAAAACGATATATGGTCTTCTAGATGGTTGATGATATGGCTGTAAACTCTGTGCTTGAGGGTCTAGCAGCAGAAAGAAGTCATAAGTTATAGTGTGATGTCAGTAAGAGCAGAGTTTTATCTCCTAGAAAGGAGATTTCTATGAAATATGATTTCTCCAGAGGGTATTACAAAAATTGCTGAGTGTTGAATCCAACTAATTGGCCATTTTAACTATGAGCTTAGTTTCTGCTCTGTTCATGGCATGTGCTGTGTTCCATTAACTTTCACACATAGGTGTTGCTGAAATTATTGAATTACTCGATACACATAGTTCAGGACTGATTAGATTGAGATTAGTCCATACAATAAAGGCATCATATTAATGCCTAGTCCTAGGAAACAAAGCGGAGGCCTTGAACTGCTAATATCTTTTAATCCTAGCTTTGATATATTATACATGTTCAATGTCAAGCTTGATAGTTATTCTCTGAAGTATTTATATTACTCATCATCTTTCTTCCTTGCTGTATAATATATTTCTCTAAGGAGTTGCTTTACGTGTTTATAATGCCACATTAATATGGCCCAACATGTATCATCAAGGCATTCTTAAAGGGACTTGGCAACATTGTTCAGATGAGAGAAAATGGTGCTAAGGTAGTGACTTCAATGCTAATATGAAAGTTTGAGCGCAAACAGACAATTATTAATGATAAAAATTAAGGAAAACTGATCTGATTGATTCCTTAATTCTCCCAACTATATTATTACAATTTAGTTACAATTTAGGTGAATGTAAACGTTACAAAGCAATGAATTGGCTCTATATACTATTCCTGACATTTAAGTGTTGAAAGATTTTTAAAAGCCCGTCTTATGTCTTATTTCCATGAAAAAATGGTTTGAAGAACACTTTGAGTGACACCTTCAAAGAAAACCATAAATATCTTTGTGGTTTGAGAATTTGTCCATGTTTTTTTTGCATGTTAGATGGTTTGTACAGTAAAATGGATATACATGTAATAAGTAACATTTCATACAAAATTTACTTAGTTTTTTCATCAACCTTCAACAATGTTACTGAGTCACTTTAAGGCTTTCATGTCAGTTCTGAATTCAAAGTTTCAATGCATTCCCTGTTACAGATGAGATCTTGGAGATCATTGCCTCAGACCCTCCAGCTGGCTTTAAGTGTACCTTCTATGCATCTTACCTAAACCTTCTCCTAAGCATCTTCTACATGGCTTGCAGGGATCTCAACGAAATCAGACACTTGGTGAGTTTTGGTTTCCCGTACAGAAGCGTCTCTGGCATAGGGTTCAATTCAGTTGTAAATTTTCATCAATTGGTTCTCTCTAGAGAATCTAGCTAAAAGTTTCAGTTATGATTCCATTGTCCACTGTATTCTGATTTAAAACGGCTTGACGATTGATTCTAAACAAGTAGCAGTTTATTATGAATCTTTGTGTAACAGTACACTGGCATTGAATACTCCATAGAATACAACTTTTGAATTTGAAAGCAAAACAAGATCTGTCAATTCTTTTGTACTCTTGATTGATTTTCTAAGGACATAGACACAATTCTGTTTGATTAAAAAAAAAGATCTATCTATTCTAATGAGAATGAGAATGAGGATGTGCCCTATATTTGTGATTTTAAAATACTATTATTTTATTACAACATGATATTTTTGTGTGTGCTGAGAAGACTGATAACAGGAAAAATAAGTTTATGGACCTTAATGCAGTACTACTGGGTAGAATAAAAACTAAATAAAAGATTTTATATTCCACATACTAAGAATCTTGCTCTACGATTGGTCATAAGTAAATCACGTGATCAAAGATAGTTCGCCCATCATTGATGGGGGAAGCAAAAAGTTCGTTGCCCTTTGTAGATAGTACTACTATCTACAAAGGGCAACGCACTTTTATTGAAGATAGAGGTACTATCTACAAAGGGCAACGCACTTTCACTGAAGATTATCCAAAAGCGCACTAAAATAGGCGTAATTAAGCGCGCATTACCAATGAGCGCAATTAAAGCAAACACATGCGCGCACCGTACCCTCAAAGGGTTGGGTTAAACTTTTAACCTTTTTGGTGTGAATTTGGGCCTGGTGTCTTTCATGTAGATGCATACACGTCCTTTTCTTGTTGTAGTTATATTGTTTTTAGATGTGGAATATAAAGCAAATAATCACCTTTTGGTTTCAGGCGATGGCAAACTATCACTTCCTCGTCGATCAGAATGTATACGCTATCTTTCCTCAGCTTCGCTTCGGAAAGATAGCTACATCCAGATCGCCTCGGAAGTGATAGTTTGTCCCATCACCTTCACCAAAGGTAGTTATTTGCTTAATATTTGTATACATGTATATTAATGCTGAAAATTTATATTTTACTCCAGGCCCAACTCAACTTTCAAAAGTACATTGAACCCATTACCAAAGGAGAAGCTACTGTGGATGATGCACACAAGCTGTGGAGGAATATTGAACCTCATCTCAAGAAAGCACTCCAAACCATCTACCTCAGGGAAGTGTCAAGGTGAAAAAAGAAGAAGTTATTTTTAGCTATATATGTATTATCTGTTTACAGGGTTTACAGATAAGTGAAATATTTTTATTTGATGCATCAAAGATAAAAAAAGGAATTTATTTTCTTTAATAGACCAGTTCACGGTTAGCACATGTTCCGGAATCACGGTTAGCACATGTTCCGGAATGACCCTGAATATCCACAGATCTTCAAAACATGAAAAGGTCCCACTTTGTACATTTTGAAACAATCACTCCTACAGCGATGGAGGTGCAACATAAATGGCATTTGTTCCCCCTTTTCAAAGAATACTTCCACCTGTGTATCATGGAGTGCACTGTTTGTGCATAAATGAATAATGATTTCATAACTTTCGTAGCCAGTATTTGGTCTCTGTGTATTTCACAATTTGGTCTGCAATGACCTTTATCTGCTCATGTTCAGACTGCAACTATGAACGGGCTTATAGTCCTTGAAAGCACAAAGAGGACCAAACATGCTGGGGTTATCTCTGGGGTCATCATACAAATTTTTTTCCTGGGTAAATTTAATATTTTGTCTGCTTTTTAGTGACTTTGTAAATTTCTTTATTTTGCAATTTACCATTGTGCGAGGTATCTTAACTTAAACTAAGCTCAGAAGCAATACTGTTTGTGAGATAGGCCTCGAGTGTTTTTTTTTTCTTCAAAATTTCTACCATCAGATGTGAAGGGTTATGAGTTATGTTCTGTGCTCTTGTTGCTATGTTAAAAGATTTGAAATTTAAGGTCATCTGTTCTTCACATGTTAACTTATTTGAACTCTATGCATTACTCAAAGAAATCCTTGAAATTGTAGGTTTCATTGTCCATAATTTATAAGAATGATTCAGTATCATTCAGATTTAAAATTGTAGCAATGTAGACCTGGGCCATGTCTTACAAAGAGTTGCGATTGATCCGAATCGATCGTAAGTCCTCCAATCAATCGCAAGTTTGCAGTCTCCTATCTCTTATGTACATACTTGCGATTGATATCAATTGCAAATAAGTTGCGATTGATATCAACTCTTTGTAAGACGGGCCCTGCTCTTTCTTCTGAAAGTACTATCTCATATAATCGGTTATATGTAGTAACATGTATATGTCTCTAATATGTCTATACAGATATAATCTATAAAGATAAAATCTGAACTTTGTAATTAATATTTTTATTTGTCAATCTCCTCAGCTCACAGTGGGAGAAATACCAACAGGAAGTTTCAAGTCATGCTAGTCTTCCCACCATGCTCTCTGCCCGAGCCCATGTCGAACTGCCATTCTACTCCAAGTTCCTTCTGATAGCAGCATACCTTGCCTCCTACAACCCCGCCAGGACAGACAGACGGTTCTTCTCAAAGCATCATGGGAAAATTAAGAAGTCTGCCAAGGTGTCTAAAAAGGAGGTGATTGCAGAGTTTGTGCTCCTTATTTCCTCTGAATGTCTTTTTTTTTTAACCAGCAACTGAGAAGAGGTCTGGACACATACAGTCTTTGTTCATGTGATGGTGATGTCCATCCAATTCCATAATCATTAAACAAACACATATATGATTTTAGCCTTATAAAGATTGAATCATGTATATTTATAAGTGAATTTATTATTCATGACAAAACATAAATTAAAAAAATAGCTCAATTTTCATTCGTTTTGTACAACATGATTTTAGTTAGGGTATCATTCCATAGTAGTAAAATGAAGTACAGTATTATGTTGACAAAAAAACAATGCTTATACAATTTATCTTTCTTATAAATGAACTTGAAAATAATCATCTGATATCTTTGTGTTATATTATGGTTTCAGACTAGCAACCAGCTTCTAGGTCCCAAGGCATTCCCCTTAGACAGGCTCATGGCTATCTTCTACAGTGTTGTAGATGCAAGGGTTGCACCATCTGCAAATATCTTCTCTCAGGTAAACAACCGGTATTTACATGTAGTTGGCGGAGTGGGTGGTCCTATTTTTGTATAAGTAATGTACGTGGACATTTTAATGAAATCAAGCATATGATTTGTATGTCTATGTTTCTCAACTGAAGTTTATAACGGGGAAAACTATGTTGAGTTTATTAGAATATTTATTAAATTTTGCATATATACCTTATCTGACTTCGTACAAGATTTTCAGAGTTTTGAAATTTGTCATGAAGAATTGTCATTGGAACCCTTGACAGTTGGATATGAAAACAGTTGGGAAGCAAGTGAGACCACTATTGAAATCACGGTGAACAACTTTAAAATTTCCAACACTTTGTTGTTATATCGTTTTCTTTCCAAAAGCTAAAGTTATAATTGTAATTTTTCTCTTTCCTGTATAGATCTCTTCCTTGGTGACCCTGCAACTCTTATCCCATGTTGGTCATGATGATCAGCTAGATGTTCCTAAGTACAAATGCACAGTGTCTCTAGACTTCATCAGGTCGATAGCAAGGTATGTCTTTTTGAGATATGAGATTCTTTGTTCATACTAAGATGAATTCATGATGAAAGTGCAATCCAACCCTTTCATTTAAGTCATTTGAATGAAAGCTTTGAACAAAAGTTTGACATAAATCTAACCAATGACAAGAGAGTTATACAAATGTTTTCGGGTTGTCCGTCCGTACATACGTCCTGTTCTCGTGATCGTGTTATCTCAAGAACCGACTGATGGATTCCTACCAAACTTTGGTCATGTATGTAACTTGCAGAGCCAATGAATTGATTAGATTTAATTTAATTTTTTTGGGTAAGTTTAGTCATTTTTGTTGCTTGAACAGATGGGAAAGTTGTCCGCCACTCATCACAGAGACATACTGATTCAGCCAATTTGAAGAGCCCATGCCTGAAATGATTGAAACTTTCAAAAAATCATAACTTTCTCATTTTTTGCCCGATTTTATGCCAGTATTTTCTCTAATTTGTCTTCTTTCTTAAAGAGAATTTGCTATCAAGGTTGGATTTTCTTTTAAGTTTGTCTTGTGAACTATTTGAATAATATTAAGAAACTTGGTGAAAAGTAAAGTATTTGTACTATCAGGTTTCATAAAGCAACAAATGAAGGTTATACAAGACAAGAAGACGGTATCTACTGGGTGAAAACAAAAAACATAGTTCACTACATCTAGTAAGTTTTTGATGATTTGATATATGTCTTGTTGGAAGGATAATATGTTTTAGTTGATCATTCATAATAAGGTTTTGTTGACATCGCACATGTATTGATCCCTTAGATTCAGTTTTAGAAAGTCAAATAATTAAGTGATACTCTCACTAGAGTATTAGCTTACTAATCAGCTCACACCCCTTTCGCCGATCCGCTTGCAGTTTTACCAATTATTACTATCAATATCTGAATTTCATAGCATGACTTGAGTAATAATAAATAAAAATAATAAAAACGGTGCTTATAAAGCGCTTACCACCGAAGTCTCTAAGCGCTATAACAAACAAAATACAATATAAACAATTACACATTAAAGCCTCACTGTCCTACATGTAGCTACTTGCTCCCTCTATATAGAAAACTTCCCCAATCGGTGCCTGTTGCTCCCCTATGATCCTCTTTTTCTTATGTTAGTTGAGAGCCGAGTTAACGAGATAGCCACCTGTCAGTGACCTCGCTGTGTGGTCTAATCCCTTCTGGCCCAGTAGTATTGACGGTCTTTAAACAAAACAAAAAAGTGCAAATAAACCTTCAAAAATTACACTTTCATTTTCTCTTTGCTTTTTTTCTTCTTCAGGACGGTGAACTTCGACATCATCAGATACCTTTATGATTTTGTCTGAAGGAGCTCTACCTAGCCCTCATGGTATATGTGAGTCTATGCATCTAAGATGGAAGTGTGTATTGGTGCAAGATGGATGCCTGACAAACATACAGTACTTAAGATCTTGTGATGGAAAAGTAGCAACCACCCTAGAGTTGTATGCCCTGTTATTGTGCCTGTTCTTGGCTTTTTCTAGTTTTTCTTCAGTGCAGTTTGATTTAATGTTGATATTCAGGTATTAATATCAGTTCTACGTTGAACGTATTCCCAGAAAGATTATTTTTCCCATACATTCCAAGTGCCTTATACATGGAATGTAATATGAAGATATTGAATGATGGTGCTCAAAAGTGAACGAAATAGGGTAATGTTTACAACTGTGTAGCTTATTTGTTGCTACCTCTTCTTTTCAAAAGAATGTTTGAAAATTATTTTGATTTTAATTTATTTTTGAGCAAGACAAAATGCTGTAAGTCAGATATGTGCTGCTCTGTAGAGGTATGTTTTGTTTTTGGGGATTTTTTTAACCATAAGCTTGGTACACTAAAGTCTATGTATGATCATTTTGAAACCAAAATGTTCTTGGTTCCTACAGAAAATTTTGAAATGAAAATGCACAACACTAGTACAGTGTATGTGTTGATTGCAAAAGTAATTGATATTTATTATGACCTGTAATTTAAAGAAGTGGCTGATATGATAATATGTAATGGATGCTTTTTACAGGTTATTGGACTAAGACAGATATTTAAAAAAAAGGCTGAATCTTCATGCAGAGTTTCTTACATTGTTTGAATGTATTTATTTCATACTTAGCAATCAGGAATATAGGACACCACTGAACATGATACAACAAGCAATACATTTCTTTTGCATTAATTCCATCTGATGAGAGTCAAAAAGGATTTAATTCATATTTCATATAGGGGACATTTCTGTTTTGTCCAGTGATCCAAATTGAATTGGTTCAAAACGTTGTTTGATACATGAAGCTTGTGTGACAATTTAGATTGATCTTACCACTTTGTACAGTTACATTGTAAAAATTGATGGTTTGAACAAAAAATATCCACTTCCACGTATCCTTCTCTTCCTCTTCCTGTATCAGAACTAAGAATGAGGCCTCCCTCTGTTTTAACTTAAACAAATAAAAAACATTTTGCAGGATTAAAGCCTTAATCCCCCCCCTCTCCCCTTTGAAGCGTACATGGGTATGTTCTAGCTCAAAAGTGATATGAATACTGAATAGGTAGCATGGTAAATCTTGGTTTGGCTTCCTTAAGAATAATCAATTTCTTCAAGTTTAAAGGAATGTTGTCCTTGGAATTTTTAAGTTTATTTTCGATTTCACTAATTCTTCCCTTTGAACTTTTCCTATTTGTGAAAAATGAAAAAAATGACAAAACTGCACTATTTAACAAGGCAAGGAATGATGAGCCTTGCTGCACGTTTCTAACACTGCGCCGTCGGCTTGTTAGCGTTAGTTTACTTGAACGTAGTGTTGATTTTTTTTCTTGTCAGAGTTTTTCCATCCAATATTGACCCTCTCCTTGGCTTGTGATTGTACAGCTGACTTCTGCCTCAAATTGTGGTATTTCTCAAGACATCCAACGGTCTATACCAAAACTAACTTTCCCTTTATACATAACTATTCAATACCATGGTAAACTCATTTCAAAGGTGTGTCTAAAAAAATTAAAAGATCTGAATCCCTGAACATACATATATACATATAATATGAGTGTTAACTGCATATTATGTCTTTCCTGTACATTCCACATTACAAAATTCATTATCCACAAAATAACGGCTGTTTTTCATCTTGATTTTTAAATTTCAGAATTGCTGAATAAAATTTCAATGCATATTCTTTGTACAAAAAGTAGGGTTTTATTTCCACTTCCCAAAAGGAAAAGGTTTTCATACAGCCTTCTTTTTTACACTTATCTTTGGATCTACATTGAAATTAAGTGTCTGCAAATCCCCTTTCATGAAATTTTCACTGCTCTATTTTGTTAATTTCATTTTTGTTTTAAATCAAAAGAAATTTGAAATTAGTCTGGGCTGGTCTTTATGTAAGTTGTAGAGATTTGTGAACTCATTATAAATGTACGTTTAATTTATGTATGCCTAAAAATACTGTACTCGTATCTTCTTCAAACAACCAGGTGTTTGAAATGATAGAACACCGATTGTCCTCAAGGAATTCTACCACCCTGTAGCTCTCCTCACTCGCCATTCTGAATAACAAAAACAAAACGATTTGAATAAATATGTGAAGAGATTTGTGGAAAAATCACAAGGAAGATTTTTAAAGTAGTAGCCCTCGTTTGGGTACTAAACATAACATTCCTACACTATATAACCTAACATGACAATTGTGACCTGTCGCCACAAAACAAACATTAAAGATTGTATTCTTGATTTGCACACTGTCAAAAGGTATTCTTCTAGTATTCTTTTAGTCCGTCAATCCAGTGTTTTCTGTTTCTCCTGGGTCCATTGAAATTCTTCATGAACCATGTGTGATTTGGTCATATCATATTTCCCGGGAGTTTGGACACCATGAATTTGATAATGACTTCTATTGTATCACAGGCTAAGTTAGGCTTGGAGAGCCTTCTAGATTGTGGTATATTGTTAATGTTCTGATTTAATTTTATATGCCTCCTTGAATCTCACTCTGGTGCCTGATTCTGGGATTAGCTCTTTAATTGCTTCATTGGTGAGGAGATTAAAACTGTCAAGATCAATGTCATTATATTCCAAAATTCCAATCTATGAATATCCCTCTAGCTAGTTCCTCGGCTTAGACTCTTAGCTCAGCTTTTCATTCATAATCTCTGATATGATGTGTATGATACGCATGAGCGTGCCCCTGGTTCTGGCTATGCCTGACGGCCGAGAATTTTTTGATGTTGTTGTGCTAATGATATACGTGTCATTTGACACTGAGCCTCTGTTATTATGAGATGTTTACAGTTAAGTAAGGTTGAGTGGCTACTCTTCATCGGAGTGGAGAGACTGCTCATTTTGGTCGATGATCGGTGAGTCATCTGCTGAGTCGTTGATGGCGCAAGTAAGGTTGAGTGGCTACTCTTCATCTGAGAGGAGAGACTGCTCATTTTGGTCGATGATCGATGAGTCATCTGCTGAGTCGTTGATGGCGCAAGTAAGGTTGAGTGGCTACTCTTCATCTGAGTGGAGAGACTGCTCATCTTGGTCGATGATCGATGAGTCATCTGCTGAGTCGTTGATGGCGCAAGTAAGGTTGAGTGGCTACTCTTCATCGGAGTGGAGAGACTGCTCATTTTGGTCGATGATCGATGAGTCATCTGCTGAGTCGTTGATGGCGCAAGTAAGGTTGAGTGGCTACTCTTCATCTGAGTGGAGAGACTGCTCATCTTGGTCGATGATCGATGAGTCATCTGCTGAGTCGTTGATGGCGCAAGTAAGGTTGAGTGGCTACTCTTCATCGGAGTGGAGAGACTGCTCATTTTGGTCGATGATCGATGAGTCATCTGCTGAGTCGTTGATGGCGCAAGTAAAGTTGAGTGGCTACTCTTCATCTGAGTGGAGAGACTGCTCATCTTGGTCGATGATCAATGAGTCATCTGCTGAGTCGTTGATGGCGCAAGTAAGGTTGAGTGGCTACTCTTCATCGGAGTGGAGAGACTGCTCATCTTGGTCGATGATCCACGGGTCATCTGCTGAGTCGTTGATGGCGCAATTAAGGTTGAGTGGCTTCGCTTCATTGGAGTGGAGAGTTTTTGAGGATGGTTGAGTTTTGGAGAGGCAGCTCTACGGAAGTTGGGATTAAAAAAAAAAAAAAAAATACATATTTGCAGCCGCATTTTTTGCCTATCTAGGGGGCTCTTTTTGGTATTTCTGTGGCGAAGTCGCCCTCTGCCCCATGTATTTTTTCCTGATGTTTTCACACCATATTTTCCGGGAGTTTGGAATCCATGTATTCAATGATGGCTTCTGGTGTATCACGGGCAAAGCTAGGCTTGGAGAGCCATCGGAATTGTGGTCTATTTTTCTTATTCTAATTTTTTGGCACTGCCTTTTCTCATTATGGTATTGAATGTGTACTGATTTTACAGTGTGTTCCACATCTTTCCAAAATTCTAATCCGAGCCTTATGTGTATTCCTCCTTCTCTTCAGCTTTGACTCCTACATGTAACTCAAATTCTTGTTCATAATCTCTGATATGTGTATACCCCATATTTCCAGGGAGTTTAGAGTCATTGGTCCAAATTCACAAAGGTCAAGAGAGATATTCCACAGGACCAAGCAAGCCACTATAATTGTGAATTTAGTGCCCACCTACGCATGCAGATCATTGAAGCAAGGGAACCTCTTCTTCCTTAGGCCAAAGGTCTGCTCAATAACACACCGCTCTCTTTTGTGGGCAGTATTGTAGCGCACATTTGGCCGCCCTGGAGGACGTAGGAGAGGAGTTAGGAGATAGGGGAGGAACGGATACCTGAAATTTGAAGATTTCAAGACCAAAAATACACATCTTTACTCATTATTATTCCTTCCTTTAGGAAATTATAAGTACTAGAGATATTACTTGGTATACTTACTTGGTATACTTGGTTGATTAGCCTTCTTGTCCTATGGGAAGGGCTCTCAGTTTTCTCTTAAAAGTAGCCACAGTAGGTGCAGACACTATGTTGTTAGGTAAGCCGTTCCAGGGTTGGACCACTCAATTTGAAAAAAAAGAGGCCAGCTGAATTTACCTCCAAATTAGGTTCTTTAATTTACATCATAATGATATAATTGTAGAAGAAACTAATCTACAACATCAATCTGGCATTTAAAAGTAAACTGTCTGCATTGGCTGTGTGAGAAAATTGTCTTTTTCTTAAAATGTCATTTAAATTGGAAGTGCTTTTCAGTACAAAGTAAAATAATGATCTGATCTGTTTCTTATTAATGCCTGCAAGACAATGTCCAAATCTATCCAAATGTCTCAATTTCCGATCCCCTCTTTATAATAGGAAATGGTTGCGTTATTGCTTAGTCAAAATAAGAAGCATGCATTTGGTAATTCAAGAAAGCAAGGGAATGTAAATTTTAATTAAACGGTATCGTTATTCTTGAAAGAACTTTTAAATGAATATGTATCAACATGTACTGCATGTCTGCATTTATGATTACAATGGGATTACCATAAAAACCAATCCATGTACCCACTATCTCCAAGTAGCCACTCAGCACCATCTGCCCTTGCCTGTAGCTGCTCCTTCAATGTGCACTCCGAAAAAATCAGAGAATCGTGAGTGCTGCCAGGCCATCTTACCACGATACTTGATATTTTCCCAGCATGATCCCAAACAACCTACCAATAATGATTCTACAAACAGGTAACTGTGATACTGTTGCCTCGTCACCATGCATCTTCTGGAATGAAGTTGATAGAAGAATGTCTTGTCTGAAAGTATTTTCTTGCCACAATTCTTGTTATTTTCCCAGCATGATCCCAAACAACCCATCAATAAGATTTGCCTCTTCCTTCTTGCAATAGCTTCTGAAACATCTTTAATGATTCTACAAACAGATGACTGTGATATCGATTGCCTGGCCATCTTGCCACGATACTTGTTATTTTCCCAGCATGATCCCAAACAACCTACCGATTTGCCTCTTCCTTCTTGCAATAGCTTCTGAAACATCTTTAATGATTCTACAAACAGAGGACTGTGATACTGTTTCCTCGTCACCATGCATCCTCTGGGATGATCCTATAATTGAAATGAAGTACAGGGCTTGATCCCCATCAGGACTCCTGATGTAGACATGAGTCCCATCGATAGCACCTATCATCTCTGTGCGGAGCTGTTTCTATTCTTCCCTGTACCTGTGGGTTAAGGCCTAAAAAAAAAAATTGATGACTTGGCGTAACAGGTCACTGAAAATTAGGGTAGGTAGGGCGATTTTTTTGTTGTTTTTTTTGTTGTTTTTTTTTTTTTTGTTGTTGTTGTTGTTGCTTATATTTGCATACATGAAATTAGCCATTCATACACATACATACATACAGTGGCGTAGATAGGTCCTCAGACCTTGGGGATGATCTGATGAGAGGGGTAGACCACAATATGTTCAAATAACTCCACGCACACACACACACATATATGGACACACACATATATGGACCTTGAACGATTTCTCCGATTGTTGCTTCAATGTCCACCTTCCGAAGAACGCTGAATAAAACGTGAGCACCAAATTTACCCGTGAACTGAACGCCAAAGGACGCCATGTTGGGGATACAATCGCTTAGCGGTACTATGGTGTACCTGCCCGCTGCACTCGGCGCGCGAGCTGGCCCAAACACGGCGCGGCAAAGCCCAGAACGAAAGCAACAAACATCCGGGTTTTCCCCACTGCGATATCGATATTTACGCAATCGCAATCGGATCAAAAAAAATAAAAAAGCGTAGGGTCGGCGATAAAAATAGGGTCGGGCGGGTTACGCCAAGTCATCAATTTTTTTTTTAGGCCTAATACCCACAGATCCACCATCTGTTTCTTCACCTCATAAGGAACTGCATGCGATGAGGAACCATCTGATATTTCTCCTGTAACGAAACAATCTTTTCCTGAAAGTACGTCAAGACACTCTTCATCTCTAAATGTAACTGTGTCTCTTCTTCCCTGTACCTGTGGATTAATACCCACAGATCCACCATCTGTGTCTTCACCTCGTAAGGAACTGCTTGCAACGAGGAACTATCTTGATAATTTTTTAAAAATTTATTTATACCCAAAGAAACAACAGAATCGCATAGAAACATGTACCAGTAAACCCTGCAACCCCAACAAAAACTTTGGTTTACAATTTTCTTTAAAAATTTTGATGAAAGAGCAAACATTTTACTTGATCGTACGTACCAGTATCACATTTTTCTAAAATTTTACTGGCCATTGGTAGTGTCGAGTTTTCGCTTTCACTCTCATATGTATGTATTGTATTTATTAAACATCATTGATGTACATCAATATTCTGTTTATAGACATAGTTATAATCACTTTACAATGTAATGCAACAATCGATATATAAAACATAATATAAAACATTTACAACACCTTTCTAAATAAACAATAAGTCATGCAATACGAAATATGTAAATGAGAACTAAAACAAAAGCATAAGATTGTACACGACTACTTTGTTATAACATATAGTATCTAAAAATTACCCCTCATTGCAATTATGTTTTTGGTGAACAAAGAAAAACTATCTATTACAACTTCATTATCTAATCTCATTATAAATATGAATTTTTCTTGACTATCCAAATTACAAAAATTTTCTTCCAGATTACTAATTGTTTCTATAAAATCTACTCGTAAATCTTTATACTTGTCACATTTCATAATTATATGGAATTCATCTCCTACAAGATTCATATTACAGTCTTCACAGAATCGTAGATTCGGGGGAGTTTTTTCTGGTCTTTTATACCTTCCTGTTTTGTGCGCGCTTAGACGTAGTTTGGTGATATTTTTTCTTAAATTTATATTTGGTATATGAGATAAATACTTTTCTTGCTTGATTGAGTTTTTAAATTGTCTGAGGGTTCTGAGTTTATTTCCTTTACGGGTATCCCTATCATCAAATAAGTCTAGTTTTAATTGTTCATCAAATCTCCTTTCCAAACAAAGTTTACATAACTCGACAAAATCTTTATGAGAAATTTGTATATTTTCAGGGTCCAATACGGTCTTTGTCATTCTCTTTCTCAAGCCTACTTTTCTCTGATTCTGGACACAAGGTTGACCAAGCATCAATATCTTCTGGCATATTCTCAAGAAATTCCTTTGCTTTATCAAATGATTCTGCATCTTTTTCATAGAAAGCTTTATAATTGAGTTGCACACTTCCAAGAAAAAAGAACTGTTGATAACACTTAACTCTGATGGCTTTAGTTCATTTGTTCTATAAGGTAAGAAAAGTTGAAGCATACTTTGATAAAACCTTTCAGTATTTGTCTCAAATCTTGGATATCTAATGATAGCATTTTTCTTTGTTCTTTTCTGCACAAAACCATGTCCATTCAACAATTTATGAATATTCTTCCGTTGTTTTCTGTGCTTACCATACAAAACCCTGTATTCAGAACAGAAAGTTGCCAAACACATCAATTCAAACACTTCATTATGAGGACGATTCTTGTACCTGTCTACCTTGTTCTTGGCCCAAATATTATCATCATCATCTGATTTTGACTTAATGACTGATAGTGGCAAACTTAATCTTGTTTGGTAACGTTTAAAAAAAAAATTGCCTACATTGTAATAAGATTGTATGAGGTCAACTTAAGAGTGTAATATGGAGCTGTTGGTTATATTTTGTACGTTTTTCCCCCCACCAGTTCCAAGTACAAGTACAGGCGAATAAACATGAGAAAAAAAAAGAAAAAAAAAAAAAATCTTGGATTTTCACCCACCGATATGAATTCTATTTTTCGTGAAAATTCCTTTAAACTGAGACCACACACTCTATACACAGCTTCTTGATGGAAACTTCTTTATTTTTAATAAAAGCATGGCCAAGTTCCTTCATACACTTTTTAGTATCGTTATTACCAGTTGATATTTCATCATGAACAGCTTGCAAAACCTTGCCCAATTCACGTTCTGATTTAGAAATGTAGGCCATTATATACTGAACACAGCATATACAAACTGTATATCACAATTAGCATTCCAAGCACGCAATACATGTTAATGTTTATTATATTGATATACCCATACAGATTTTATATTTCGACTATGTACAATAGATACCCTTTCTGCAACCATACAATATGCCTTTTCAAATTCCTCCTGTGATGTATTAAGCTCTTCAAACAATTCTTCTATACCATTGTATTCACTTGTAGCATCCCTCAATTTGTCTTTCACTGATGATACTAGATCCCTAGCTTTTAATAGCCATAACAAATGAGTCTTTATCAGGTTTGGGTCTAACTACAAATATTCTTTGTGATAGAGGTCTAGGAAAATTAAGCGACATTCTTTGCGCCCCTTTTTACAAGATTTAGAATGTTTTTTGCTATGCATTTGCACATGTTCTAGTACAGTATATCCTTCAATGACCTGTTAGAACCCTTTAAAAACAGTGTACGTTTATACACAAGTTTAGTGTAAAAAAAAAAAAATCACCAGCGGCAAAGCAAAGAGCTGTCAAAACCTGTAGATGAACAGGTAGTGGATTATTCCTCTCTGTGTTCCTTTTCAAGTCCCCTTCAAGCATGTTGATGAGGTAGATTACCGTCTCCTTTGAGAAACGGTATTGCACTTGAAACGCTTCATCCTCGTAAAATTCAAGTGGATTTTTTGCATCTCTCAGACCTCGATTAGGTCTCGGCTGAGGTATCTGTGTGCAAAAGATAGATGTAGTTTAATGATTTGAAATATTTAATTAAAAAATGATTTTCATTATATAGCCATCTTTCCTACTCTTTTGTAAGATTGATTTCCCATACCCTATATCAGGGTATTTTGTGAGTTCTTAGAGCTGGTTATTGGCTTCCAACCCCCCCCCCCCCCCTTACTCTTGATAATTTGAAGTTGCATCCAGCTGCAAATGAAGTAGAGACAAAATCTTTCACATCTGAAACGCATTGGAATTGCACATGCTGAAGGTAGAGATTGGAAAAAGTAGGTGCGATCACACGTATTTGCATAATCATACAGCTCCGCATAGAACAACAGATGTAACACCTGCAGAGTTGACGTTCAATCAAAAATTGAGAACCAAGCTTCCAGAAGTCAAAAGTGAGAGTAGTATACATGAAGAATATGAAATAAAACATACCTGTCAATTTCTTTTGGCCCTCGTATCTGTTGGCACAGATTTTTAGGTCACTCCACTTTTTGCTCGTCTGCTTGGGGGACCGCGTAAATCCGTTCGAATTTAATACAGCCGTCGCCTTCACCCACGCCTTTTATTTCCTCTTCTCGACCAAAAATCAAACATGAAAAGTACTGTACACATACATTTTTTGTTGGTATTTTTTCCTTCTCCTCATTTTCATTTTTTATAAATTTAATAAAATTCATAGGAAATTTAATAAATCCATTCTCACCACAAATTTCATTACAAATGGCCAGCCAGTCAAACAAAAAAAAATATATATATGAGAAAAGGATCTTTATCAGAGAAGTAATATCGAAAGTAACTAAATAAAAGAAAAGCTATTATTCATATTTTAAGGAAATCAAATTTAAGATAATTGGATGACAGAGCTAAATGAACTTAGTGGACAAGAGAGTACAAGGTTCCTGCAATTGATATAGTAGTTCAACAATGCATATCCTTTGCACCTATTTGACATCCATTACTTGTAACACTAATAGCCAAGCTTTGTCCTCAGTCTGTTTCAGTTGAGACAATTCGTCCTTGGTAATATCGATTGCCTGGCCATCTTGCCACGATACTTGTTATTTTCCCAGCATGATCCCAAACAACCTACCAATAAGATTTGCCTCTTCCTTCTTGCAATAGCTTCTGAAACATCTTTAATGATTCTACAAACGGATGACTGTGATACTGTTGCCTCATCACCATGCATCCTCTGGAATGATCCCTTAATATACATTACAAATAGCCAGTCAAACAAACAAAACATATAAAATGAGAAAAGGATTTTTATCAAAGAAGTAATATCAAAAGTATTTAAAGTAAAGGGCTATTATTCATATTTTAAGGAAATCAAATTTAAGAGAATTGGACGACACAGCTTAATGAATTTAGTGGACAAGAGAGGATGGGGACATGCATACAAAATGGAGCACTACTGATAAGAAAAATAAAACAAATTCAGAAGAGTCCATACTCTGGATGAACATTGATGTGCCTTGCCGTAGAGCTTCGGCCGGTTCGTCTTCACGAATTCGCTGAGGAGTATGAATTTTCTCTTTTTGCCAGTTCCTGTGTCGTACCTGCAATGTGTAACATAATTTGTAAGAAATCAAATTTTTGTTATGAAGTTTCACATTACCTTACATTATCAAATTAATGTATAGATTGTCTAATCATTCAAAACCAGTCCCAAGATATATCTTGGACTGGAGTCTTTGGGAAATGCATGTTATAACATAATCAAACAGTCTGTAACAGGTTAACTTACAAATAATACACAGGTGTGAGTGTGTTTTAGGGCAAATGCATCTCAAGAGGGTACTTATGATAGTGCATATAAAATGCAAAAAGCGCAGCCGAGTGCGTTTGCAACACATACTGCTTGTCCATGTGCATTAAACGTAGCCTGCATGTTTTGAGTTTTAGTTTCAATTACCTACATATATACGTAAAAATGAACTATCCAGGTTGATGATAAAAATGAAAACATGCCTTCTTAGATCTAGGCCAATTCATTTGATTTATGATCAGTGTTAAATCTGAAAACTATTTTGACAGATTTCTTCCAAATTTTATTTGATGCTATGTTAAAAAATGTAGTTGACCTGTTACCCTTGATCTTTGCCCTGAGCACTCTCCCCCTCCCCCCAAAATAGTTGATCTTGTTGGTCATGTGTTTCATCACTTTACCTCCAGTGGTCCTAAAGTTA